AAATTGCTAATCAATTTTTTTCCATCTTTATTGAACTCGAAATCATTTTGATAATATAATGATATCAAGAAGAGTCCTAATCTAAAAAATGATTTTTGTTTTTCAGATCAAACTAATGGGTGCCTATATGAGTGAACTTGCTAAACTTTAAATATATCATGTTATGAAAGTTTGCAACATTCCACTTAACCACTTATATTATTTATATCTTAATTTTTTTTTTCTATTAGAGGTATTAAGTCATTAAGACCTTTACATCACAAAACAATTCTCAAGATATGTTATGGAATTTATCCAAATTTGTCTATCATGCTATGAAATGATCTTTATTTTCAAATGAAAATATCAAATATATAAATTGAACTAATGTTAAAATTGAATTGAAATTTTTAGTTTAGTTATTGATAAAGATAAATAATGTCTCAATTATACATTTCATGTGCTGTTTCTTTAAGGTGCCCTGTCCGTGCTTCCACGACAAGATTATCGCGTTCCCGACAGTATTTATTTTATAATTGCTCCGATAGTTTAATCGTGTGCATTGACAGACCGTCATCATCCAATCAGATTCATTAACATTTCAATTGCATGCCATAGAAAACGACCGACTGGAGATTTTTGTCTCCTCATGTGCCGCAGCTGGTCGGTGGAACTTTTGACAAGACTCTAGTCGGCAACAAAAATCGCCGACCAATACCGTTTTTGTTTTTGAATTTTTTCCATCATTTTTAAAAAGAATTGGAACATCAGTCTCAGACATTTTAAGACTAACAGTAAATTGCGCAAAATTAAAAACGACACTCTTTCGGCCATTGAAAAGAAACATGAGCACCCCTCCACCACCTAACGGTTTCGGTTCTGTTCCATGTGGAGGTTCTAGTTGTCGTACCTGCGAATATATAAATGTATCTCACTATTTCGAAAACAAAAGAACGGTAAAATTTTCGAACTTACGGAAGTACTTTCTTGCGTCGATAAAAACATTATATACCTAATTTCTTGTAAAAAAAATGTGACGTTCAATATGTTGGCGAAACGGAAAACGCGTTGCGTACTCGTCTTAACGGTCATCGCTTCGATATACTCCATAAGAAAGATAGACCGATTGCGAATCATTTCAATTTACCCAATCATTCCATTGGGGATCTTCTTGTTAAGCCCATAGAAAAGTACCTGTAACAACATTGATCAAACCAAAAAACCAAACTACAAACAGTCATACCTTACGGCCTAACATGACAATATGACAACAAAATCATACCTTTCATTGCAACCTACAATACTACAGCTAAAAATGTCTCTGTTATTGTCAATCGCTTTTATAATGAGCTCCAAGATGAATTTCCAAACGTTTATACTAAACGTTTATACTAAAAATTTGCTCAATGCATATAAAAGAAATAAACACTTTAGTAATTATTGTATTGGTTCACGGTAGATTAGAACCCCTTTCATCAACTCCCTGAAACAATTGCATTGGAATTTGAGTTGAATATACTTTTTCTTGTAATCTCTCCAGAAGTAATAATCTATGAATAGTCTTCAGTAAAACATATTCTGTTTGAATTGAAATAATTTTTAATGCTGAAATACATAGTCTCTACTTGTGACCTAGGCCAGTGCTTCTATAGGAGAGTATCTTCTATAACACCTATAACCAAAAAAGTCATCTTGATCTACCCCAAAACTGCATAAATTGTTACTGTCATTTGTATTAATGATTTCAGTATAATTTAAAAATTGTATTTAGATCTAGAATAGTTGGTGTTAATGTGCTAAATGAACAAATTCAACGTGTTAAATATTTAATCTATTTCTAGTTTGATTTGCAGGAAATACAACTGTATAAGTCTATAACTAGGATATGGATGTGCATTCAATAATTGACTACAGCATCATGGATGGCTTTGGCGATGTAGTCCACATTTTTACTGGTAACAGCACACATGTTAATTCTACCCGTCTTAGTTAGGTAAATGTGGTATTTTGTACATAAACATTCAACTTGTGGTTCTGAAAAAAAAAAACAACAAAGATCAGCGGCATAATCAACATAATAATACGCTTACTAGCATGTAAGAAAATGTCGACATACATAAGGCTGCAGAACACATTATAATTGGCAAATCTGATTCAACAAAATGCGATGTCGACATAACATCAGTAACTCTTTAGATTGTCTACATGTGGTAAATGAATTCATAAAACGAGCGAAAAAGATACATACTGTTGTAAGAACAATCATGTCGATATCATTTTTATATTACCTGACCGAATCTAACAACAGATATTTCCATTATTTTGCGGATGTAACTGGTAATAATTGTAATTATTTCTTACTTGTCATCCCAGTAAAGATAAACATTCCTGTTTGACTTGAAATGAAGTCCCATGATCCAGGTGTATTTAATTCTATAAGCTTATTATATAATAGTTTCCTCATGGATTTAATACGATCAGCCATAACCTTTACTTCTTCTTTCCTGGAAAATGAAACACATTGTTGATTATTCTACACATTACAATCAAGTTATTAGAAACCTACGATCCAAATTATGTACAGGACGGTTTGTGCCAGTGGGGTACTGTGGATTATACGTTTTTGACCGAAAATATTTGCCAGAATGCACGATCAATTCTATTATTCGAACATTTCTTGGAAGAAAAACCCTTTAAGACGCTTAATACGGTTCCACAGAGCCGAGGCATTTTGAATTTCAACCTCGACCGTTAAGTCAGTCTGCCCCCTATTTGGACTCGGGAGGGTTGCGCCACCTGTTATGTTTTACGCTGTAAGCATAGCAAGGGTCTTAAGGGAACTTACAACTTACCACTCAGTGCACAGTTTGGGATCATTTAGTATTGTAGACACAGTTCTTGCTCCATGATGACATGGATTTGACCAAAGCTTTCTGATGATGAATTCAAATTGTGATCGGACTTCATCTAAAACTGTCCTATCTTTGGTTATAAGACAAAGATTGCCGAGTCGTTCATCTGTAAAAGATAAAGAGAAATTTGTAAGCTCACGAAAACAATGAACGGAATTCTTTGTACAAGAAGCAATGCCCAACGTCATATTTACCTATTTCGGTGGGTGGGGGGGGGGGGGGGGGGGGGGGGGATTTTTAAACCAGG